ATCGCACAGTAAGACAATATCATCCGCATACTTAAGGTCGAGAAGTCTTTCTCCAGGTAACAGATCCACACCACCATTACTTACATTCATCAGAGCTGTTTCCAGAATGTCATCGATGGCAAAGTTGAAGAGGAATGGTGAGATTGGGTAACCCTGCCTAACCCCACTGCTTGAATGGAACAGTGAAGAGAGGTGGTTGTATGCCCTCACTCTGCCTGAGGTAAACACCTCAGGATGTTAATAAACTTCTCAGGCACATCCTTATTCAATAGACAATCCCATAGAACATTCCTATCCAACGAATCGAAGGCAGCCCTGATGTCAAGAAACACCACGATTGTTGGCCTTTGATAAGTATGGCGGTGTTCTAACATTTGGCGGAAGGTGAAGATATGATCAATACATCCTCGACCAGAACGAAACCCAGCCTGCTCCTCGCGAGTCAATCTTTCTCGGGTTTTGAACAACCTACGAAGTATGACAGAAGCCAATATCTTGGACGCAATCGGAAGTAAGCTTATCTCCCGATAGTTGTTACAGGAACGACGTGAACCCTTTTTAAAGATAGGGACAACTATCGACTCATTCCATGAAGTTGGTACACGCCCTAGTTCCCAAACCTTTGTAAACAACGTCGTCAATTCCGTAGTCAAAATGTCACCACCATCTTTAAAAATAGCCGGAGGTAAGTCGTCTGGGCCTGGTGATTTGTAACGCTTCAAGAGTTGGAGTTCCTTGTGGACTTCCGCCTCGATCGGTGGATCAGTCGTCACCGGCCATGGAGGGCAGGACAGTCTGACCGATGTTGCCGGAGCAGCAGGCCAGTTGGACTGCCCTTCGAAGAATTCTGCCCATCGTCCAAGACGTCGATGGATGTTAGTGATTGGCATCCCATCATCCTCACAGATTGTTTCACTCACACTAGACTTCTTGCTGACAGTGGCTCGGGTGAATTGGAAGAGCTTCCGGTAGTTACCAGATGCAGCTGCTGCTTCCAGCTCATTAGCACGCTTCGACCACCAGGCTTCTCGGTCCTTACGCAAGCTTTGCCCAATTTCCTTACGTAACATCCTTCGTTTATGGTCAAACTCGCGGTCACCCGGAGTGGACCGACGGGCTTCAATGAGTTGTAAGGAGCCTGAAGAAACCCATTGCTTATAAGCGGGACGTCTCGCGAACCCACAACTGACTGTACCCGCCATTTTCATGGCGTCATGCAATTGCAACCAATGCTCATCTATACTTTTCGGTGGAGTGGTAGCTAGCCTAGAGGCTAGCTCGGTTCGATAGTTACTTGCAACAGAAGTTGCAACCAGCTTGCTAATATCAATCCGTTGATGGCGGTCACTTCGTTGTCCACTGAAAAGTAAGGCAAGATTGGCGCAGACCAAGGCATGGTCAGAGTCCAGATAGGTACTCCAAAAGGAGCGGCAGTCTTGTACACAACCACGCCAGCGGTAGCTGATCGCGATGTGATCAATCTGAGTCCAGGCTACCAGTTAATAACTATACAGATGTAAACGGTTTATTAAAACTCGTTTTGTCAGAACAAGGCAATAAGACACAATTTTCAAATATATGTTCAAGACGGCTAGTTTTATATGGAGTATCGCAATTTACTAATTACGCACAGATTGGTGGGGGGTGATATTTGATTAGAGTTTTGTTATTTGTTAACACATGAATACATTTATTAACCTCAACTTGCTGCAAATCCTTTATATAATTTTCGTTAATTTCCAATGTGTATAAAAATAAAATACCACGATTTTACATCTCAACATTAGGCTTAATGAGAAGCGAATTAAAATAGATGATCATTAAATTAAATTAAATATTGATAATGACATTGCATGGAATAATAATAATAATAGCTTTATTCAATCACTCACGTAAAGGATGTTCACGGAAATAAGAACTCTGGCAGCACTCACGAGCGCGAGCCCGTTTAGACGGGTCATACATGAACAGAAAGTTTAGTAAACGCAAACCAGCATCTGATAACCATGGGAAAGTATGACGCAAATTATTGTACCTGGAAAACACGAATGAAAAAATTACGTAAATAAAACTTTAAAAATAATTTGCGTACAAATCAAAAGAATAGTAAGTTGAATGAGTTATAGATTGACAACAGAAGAATGAAGCAAAATACGATTTTCATTTATTTAATTATACCTAAATACTGTGTAGTCCTATGTTTGGGTTGTGAAGCACACTTGATGTGAAGTGTTGAAAATATGATGTCAATTATATTACAGCTTACGAGTGAATTAATAATAAACGTTAATCATTACTAGTGAGGTGTAACACCGAATGACGAGACTAGTGATCAATTAAAAGACTTGGCAGCGAACAAACAGATAAATAACAGGAAAACCTATCGCCAACACTCATCAATCTAAGTTAACATACTACGCAATAATAAAAGGAAATCAATGAGACAGAAAATATATTAAACAACTTTGTGAGTGGATAGGCCATAACATAAACCCAGAATGATATGTTGATTGGGATTTGCATGTATACATTCTCTCTGGTTCTTAATAAAACATGTATTCCGTTTAAGTCTCCGTAATGTAATCGAGGATCTCGCCTTTTCTCTAGTATGTGTTGAGGCTCACTGATGCAGAGGCTGCTGCTACACTGGTTGTCTTGACCTGCATTTGTTCGTGTGTATGGGATAGAAGGACCAGGTCATTTGAGAAGTTCAAATCGTCTAGTTGCATCCAAGCTGTCCATTGTATTCTGTGCTTCCCTCAGGTGTCGAGGTCTTCATAATCCAGTCAACTACCAGAAGGAAGAGGAAGGGACTTTGTAATGTAGTCCGTCTTATGAATTCTGTATGTTGTTGATGTTCTCAACTACTCACACCATAATGTTGAAGGAAGTCCTATAAGGTTCCACACTTAAACACCTTTTCGTAGTCAAGGACGTTGATTTATAGTGACGAGTTCCATTCAATTGGTTGTTCAACGGTGATTCGTAGTGTCGCAACTTGGTCGATAGACAACAGATTCTTACGGAATCCGGACTGTTGATCTCGAAGTTGGGTATCCACCGAATCCTTCATTCGGTTCAGCAGCACTATGCTGTAAACGTTTCCTGGTTCAGATATTAGTGTGATGCCTCTGTAGTTTTCGCATTTTCTCAGATCTCTTTTCTTTGATATCTTACCGTAGAAAAAATCTTAGCCGAAATATCTATTTTAGTTCTATGATTTTCTACTCTAAGAATTAAGAATGAGGACATCAGAGATAGTTGATTGTTAGTTATACAGGGCTTTTAGCAAACGTCACTAGGACCATAAATCAAGTGTTGTAGCTCAATGCCAGTTGTTTACTAAAATGAAAACTCTTATAAGAATATGATGATAAATAAATTGGATTATTAAATATTTAAACCTATCAATTACCATCAAATCACCTTAAAACCAGATTATGATTAGTGGAATTTATAGACGTAACGGTGCTACGACCAGAAAGCTCACACAAAATGAAGAAAGACAAATAAAACGTAACAAGAAATTCTGAACACTTAAGATAACAAATGATCGATAATGCAAACTTACGGTTGCTTTTTCAGATTTATCTTTTCTAATGCTGGTAATTTGGAAAGATTCTAGAGTGAAGACAAGTAAGTGAATAACTTGAACATACCGGCCAAATTTGATCATTCGGAGTGCCCAGTAAATCAATAATTAACTCCAATTGGTGAACCTCTGTCTTCCCAGGAAGAAGTGGTTTGTGTAATAAAAGCTCACCCATAATACAGCCAGCTGACCTGATATTTCAAATTTGGGATGACACAAATTTACTTGAACTAACCATATATCAACAGCTTTAGTCTGGTTTTTATCGCCAAGTAAAATTTCCGGTGCTCGGTACCTACGAGTTAAAAAATTATAGGCAACTGTGAATTCAATAATCACGTATAACTTCAATCCACAGAATACCATATTCGTGGAAACAAGCGAGCAAACACATGGACTTAAAAATATTGAAATTCTGTGTAAGAAAACCATCAAGACACTAGGTAGATTAGATACTATGAGCTCTTATTGACTATAGTGGCTGGGATGTGCAACGCATTCGCAAACTCTGATCATTTCCGTTGTGTTATTCTGGCTAGAGTATGAGCAGTTTAGAAAGACTTAGGGGTATCTAAATCAACAGAGTATTATTACATAGAGTCATTAACTGTTTGACCTATGTCAAAAGATGCAGACTCCCTGATCGTAGTTTTTGAGGCAACTGTTATCGGTGGATGGAAGCTGTAGGAAAAATTACTCGATATCAGTCTCAAAGAAATAGATGCAGTCACTTTTAATCCTACTGTGAACCTTAAGCTTTTTAGATTGTTATATTTCGGTTTAAATAGATCCTTGCAAAGTGTATTTCGAAGTTATTTTTTACTGCACTTGATAGCAATTTCTCGCTTATATTCATCTGGTTAACTTTCTCCGATAAGGACTTGGATCGACATATATGTGTTAAGTTGTGAGTAGTTTACGACTGACTGACCGCAGACGAGGCGATACTGCTTTGTTTACATCGGTGAAGTGGTGTCAGAATATGAAATTAAGGTCGAGTACAAACGTCATAAAGCTGAAACTCTGACCTGGATGTTAACCAGATAAGGAATGGAGAGAATATTCATTCTAGAAAACTAGTTACATAGTTATGAAATAGGAGTTTGTAGTGCCAAAGGAATGTAAGCCTGCAAATGATTTCCATAATCTAATCAGTGAGCCTGAAAACTGGTCTGAAAATATATTACAAAGAAGCGGCAAAGTTTCCAAATGTTTCTACGTCAGTTTGTTGTAGAACAATAGGTGATCTTGCACACGACTCGAAAAAAGGAAGTGATTTTTTACGTTTTGAGATGTTAGATTTCTGTTATGCTTATCGTAGCAGAAGTTAGATTCAAACTTATATTTAGGGCTTCTAGAGATGTTTGAGTCTGTAAAATACTTTTTCATAAGATTTTCATTTCATTTTACACTAGTTGAATTTTTTTGTTTTTTCGTATCTGTGTATTCGTATCGACTGTTCTACCGTTTTTTTATAGAGTTGCGTTTGTTAAGGTTTTTGACGTTTTGGTGCTTCAACTGCCACTAGTTAGTCACCGTTTCTGTACACCTTCATAGCTACATTAGTAACGTTATTGTTTTCCCACACTTTGTGACCAGCACTTCTGTAACTTTTTCTTGTTCTCTCTACATCATACTGATTAAAATGGTCATTTATATTCATCGATGTGGTCGGCCATTATATCTTTACTCTGTTGAGGATGGCATGGAGTGTGGCAGCAGTAAGAAGTGATTCGTAAAATGTGTACCAATCTATTACCGGCCTCATATAAACGTTCCAGCATACTGGCTTTCCTTTGGTTATGTAGAGAACGTTGCTTAAGTAAGGCGATTCTCCTAGATGAAATCTTGGAGCTTCCCATTCTGACGAAGACGCCAAGCGACGATGCTTGCTTACTAAGTTTGACATTGGACAACAAGGAATCTACAAATGCAATAGTTAGTGTTGTCGGCTAACCTCTTATTCCTGATGTAAAGGCTGAGACTACCATTTTCGACACGCCAGAAGGAGATAAAACCTCTGTCCAAACTACGATCAAGCACAATCTCTAAAAACCTCGCACTGTCAAGAAAACGTAACTACCACTCATCGACAGTGCGCTTACCACAAACACTGCTGATGAGGTAAGTGCAACCATAAGATTCGTAGGGAGCAAAAATATCTCTCAAGGCAAATTGGATATTATAAATGAATGTACTACTCCAAAAGTCAAAACAAAAAGGAAAATAAAAGAAAAGCTTCCGATACGTAGTTAGGAGAGGACGGTTGAAACACGAATGAAAGCCGTGAATATGACATTCAATGAAGTCAAGTCCGTCTCAAGTTTAATTATTTGGAATCTGAAGTCAAAAAACAATGAGTCTGTTAGACGGTATGCGCAGAATCTGTAGTTGGTAGAATCTGCTATCAGAAACGTACTGCCAGAAGAGGTTTCGGGAGTACAAATAACTATTGTAAAAAGACTCGTTAAATAGGTTGGAGGCGATGCCCAACCAAAAGAGGACGTTAAAGTCAGTACTCGGAAATAACAAGGAAAGAGAATTGATACCAAATAACGCATACAAAATCCGTTACTCGAATATTCGTATTTGGTCATATTGGTCACTTGAAGACTGCTGTTACTGAGTTGAAAACTCGAAAGTAAAACGGTGAAACAAACCTTGAAATTTAGGTTTACGGGTAGTTGTCTTAAAAGACAATGCTTCCGAGACCTAAATAGGTGTGATTCTCCAAACACTTTAGATGTGTGTACAAAAACGCTCGTAGTCCTAGAAGTAAATCGTCCGACCTAAACATACTGGCTTTTCCCTAACTCATATATGAACGTTGAGTAAGGTTGGTTGCTATCTTATCCCGACCGTTGGTGCTACCTTGACGTGGTGGTCGGGCTTGCCTATCGTGATGAAGCAACCGAGCTATACTGGCTGGAACAACCGTTCCTCAAGGTCCTACCATGTCAGACAAGTCGGTTGAAGAGCGGTAAGACTAAAAGCAACAAACCCAAGGTCCGAAGGCGAAGTCGTACTGCTGACTGTACAGAGGTGTGACAGCAGTAAGGTGTTTCCTTCAGACAACCAGCATGACAGCGATGCTGCCTTCCCACAAGGAGGGGTGGGGTTAGAAAAGGTCGACCCTAAAAATGCACACCTCACCTTACCTCACGGATTTCCGTCTCCGGCGGTAAGGCCCTTTGAAGAACGGAGCTAACACGTCAAAAACCTCCCACGAAAAGGCCGTGCGCGACCGGCCTCAAGCAGTTGTCCCTTGGGCACTGCGGTCACGCTCTCAGGTCACTGAGACCACCTTTAATCCAATTTCCTTTTCAGGTACCTCCAGAACAACCCTTCCACGGTGTGGGCAACCAGGAAGTGATAACCGCCCTCATACCTCTAACAGCACGCAAGACCACTGTATTCATAATCAACCTTCCTCTTCAATTCCTATTATTCCTCCTACATCGACTTTCAACCCTAAACCTCCTCCTTCGGCTTCCTCCTCAAATGTCACCATAGCCAACGATTCTAGTGCTCAAAACTCTGTCCCAGGTCTACTGAAACCTCGCTCCAAACTACACATTAGAGCCTTCAACGTACGCACTCTATGTCAAATCGGTCAGCAGGCTTCCTTGGCTAAAACCCTAGAGTCTCTTTCCATTGATGTATGCTGTGTCTCCGAAACACGCATACAGAATTCCAGTGTGGTCATTCACTTGACCTCACCTCGGCAAAACGGAGAGCCAACGAGATACACCCTACGTGTATCTGGTGACCCGATGGCCAGCTCTCGTGGACTGGCAGGTGTAGGCATAGCACTAAGCATGAGGGCGGAACAAGCACTGCTAGAGTGGATCCCCGTCAACAGTCGTCTATGTGCTATTCGGCTAAACGGCTCCGTAAGAACTCGGAAGGTTAGGGACACACGTCGTTGCCTTTTTGTCGTTTCTGTCTACGCTCCCACTGACTGCAGCTCAGATGAAGTGAAAGGTGAATTTTACAGAAAGCTGTCCGAACTTCTTCAGAAAGCTAAACGCTCAGACATAGTACTCATAGGGGGTGACTCTAATGCCCAGATAGGTAGCTTAAACCAAACAGAAAGGCATTTAGGTGGATATTTTAGCATTACGGCACAGCAAACAGATAATGGTGACCGTCTGCTGCAACTATGCTCAGACAATCGCTTATTTTTAGCAAACACAAATTTTAAGCATGAGGAGAGACATCGTCTAACATGGTGACCCTCTACACCAAACCAACGATGGACTCAAATAGACTATATTGCCATCAGTCATCGTTGGAGAGGGTCGGTAGAAGATTGTCGCTCATCCTGGAGTACCTGCTTGGACTCAGACCATGCCCTAATACGGGCACGCATCTGCTTGCGCCTCACTGGACGCAAAAAAGCAACATTAAAAAGACCCATTCGAACCGAAATGAGAAAACCAAAAGTAGGTTCCAGGAACAACTGAGGTCACGATTAGGTAGTTCTGAAAACGAGACTGACCGAGATGTTGCTTGGAAAGATATACAAACAGCTGTGGAAACAGCAGTGACATCTATTAGCGACTTAAACCACAGAGTTACAAAGAACCAATGGATTTCTTCAAAGTCTATCACACTGATGGATTCTCGCAAACTCGTCCCATCAGGTTCCGAACATGATGAAGAGCGACAACAAATCAGATCTAGGTTAAGAAAAAGTCTAAGAAACGACCGTGAGCAGTGGTGGGCAATGAAAGCAAAAGAGATGGAAAAGGCGGCGACTATAGGGAACACAAGACAGCTTTACAGACTAATGAAAGAAACTGGAATTAATAAGTCAAGTGTAAGTGAGATTATTTCGGAAAAAGATGATACTCTCATCTGCTCCCAGTCCAGACGTTTAGAACGATGGGCGGAACATTTTAGAGAACAGTTCAGCTGGCCTTCAGCTATTCTACAACTACCCTCCATTCCCAGACAATGTGAATGGAACGTTGAAGTAGGTCCCCCAACTCTAGCAGAAGTTCAAAAGGCTATAGTTAATCTGAAACGAGGAAGGGCAGCTGGTCCAGATGGATTGGCTCCAGAGGTATTTAAGGATGGTGGTCCAATTTTAGCGATTAGGTTGACTAATATTTTAGCTAAAATCTGGGAGTTAGACGTTATCCCATCTAACTGGTCACAATCACTTATCGTCCCAATATATAAGAAAGGGTCAAAATCATCCTGTGACAACCATAGAGGGATTAGTTTAACTAATATAGTATCTAAAATACTAGCCTCGATAATTATCAGACGCCTAACTAAGACTCGTGAACTGCAAACACGAGAGAACCAAGCTGGCTTTAGACCTGGTCGTGGCTGCATAGACCACATATTCACCATTCGTCAGATTCTAGAACACAGGCATACTTATCGACGTCCGACAATGGTGGTCTTTCTCGACTTAAAAGCAGCATTTGACTCGGTAGACCGCGAGATTCTGTGGCAGTGTCTGTCATTGAAAGGCGTACCCCAGAAGTACATAAACCTTGTGAAGGCTCTTTACCCGAACACTACTAGTCGAGTAAGGGCTTATGGCGAACTTTCATCTGCTTTTGCAACCTCAAGTGGTGTCCGTCAAGGCTGTCCACTCTCCCCATTTTTGTTTAACTTCATCATAGATCTACTGATGGAAATAACTTTCTCGTCGGCTGAGTTCTCGGGTATTGATCTCCATCCAGGAGGTCCACTTATCGACTTAGAATATGCAGATGTCATAGTCCTGTTTAGTGAAAAAACGCCGATAAAATGCAGTGTTTTGGTAGCACTAAGCAACAATGCCAGAATGTTTGGAATGCGCTTCTCTCCCTCTAAATGCAAGTTGTTGCTTCAGGACTGGTCTGCGTCAACACCTAAACTAAGTATAGGGAGTGAAGTAGTCGAACGCGTTGACAACTTCACTTATCTTGAAAGTCTGATCAGCCCTAATGGGTTGGTATCGGACGAAATCTCAGCACGGATTCGAAAAGCTCGTTTGGCCTTTGCCAACTTACGTCACCTTTGGCGAAGGCGAGATATCCGTCTATCAATAAAAGTACGAGTATACTGCGCAGCAGTCCGTCTTGTTTTAATTTACGGCAGCGAAACATGGCCATTAAGAGTAGAAGACACTCGTAAGCTACTAGTATTTGACCACAGATGCCTCAGAAATATTGCTGGCGTCTGCTGGGACCACCGGGTAAGTAATAGTGAGGTTAGACGCAGGGTATTAGGGAATGATGGTAAATCAGTTGATGAGGTTGTGAATCTTCATCGACTGAGATGGTTGGGCCACGTGTTACGTATGCCCGAACACCGATTACCACGACGTGCAATGCTAACAGGCGTTCGGGATGGTTGGAAGAAAGTTAGAGGCGGCCAAACCAAAACGTGGCATCAGTGCTTGAAGTCACTAACTTCTAGTGTGAGCCATGTTGGTAGATGCAGACTACTTGGTTGGGGTCCGCGTGACTTTCGTAACTAATGGTTGGAGACTCTTGGTGACATGGCTCAGAATCGATCACAATGGCGTCGGTGTATACACTCTCTATCTTCCCTTAAACTAAGAGAGTAAAATTGCTTCATATCTTTCTTTCTACGAACCAATTCTTTCTTCTTGTACTATATCTCTATATGCAATCTTTCTCTTATATATTACCACCTTTGGCCTAACTACTGCTTTGAATCCGGTGTTCATCTTGTTGTGCTGATGCGGTATGGCAACCTGGACCGATGCACATATGTGCCTGGTCCTACGTTGCAGGTGACTGACTGCTATCTTATCGTTGGGAATTTCAACGCGCCACATATTATTTGGATAGAGCTTATAGCTTCAGGTGAATGTCTGAACGGCAGCCCACTATCAACTATTATTTAGTGCGTACTTGTATAGTGTATCGCAAAAGCGACATATATTGGCTTAGAATATGAATCGTCGTAGTTGGAATTTTTCTTCATACCACACATATGATGTTACCGACGTTCAGTACCTAACCCCACCGGCAAACAGCGACCACCTTGTATTGTAATTTAAGTTTCGGAAACAATGTACAGTATGAATCTACTGTACATCATCCCAATATCTGGCTAGCCAACATTCACGCAATCGGAGAGTGTGTGGTCTCAATAAATTGGTCAGTCAATGCAGATAAGTAGAATGAAAACGAATAGAGTGATTTTAAATCCATATTCGAGGCCGCACAAACACCGTACACCTCATGGTCAACGTAAAAGCCGGAAAATACATCAAATAATTATAGCTAAATGACTCGTTACTTAAGAAAGACAGTTGGTGCACGATGGCCGTACTTGACAAAAAAAATTGTTTTCTTACATTACACAGTAGTTAAGATGTTTAGGAAAATAATTCGTGTTAAGTTATCAAGTCACGCAGAATCATATAATCTGTCAACGGCTGAGCAACGCAGGAGTGTCACATAGGACAATCCTAGCTCCCTTATTTTTCTACTCTACATCGAATCACCAAGACTGCTTAAATTATCTACACTTGTTTGCAGATGATGTTAAAGTCTAGAGGAAAATAAGTAGTCAGACTGACTATTTTGATTTCCAAACTGATCTAGACGGATTGGTTTCATAATCCCAAAGTCCAGGTTTGGAAATTAATTTTAGAAAGCGTGCTAGTGTACACTGGACACGGCATTGGTTACTAATATACTACAAACGGCACGTCGCTTTCATTAATGCAGAAAAAATAGTAGTAGTAAGTTGTGTATCGAGAACAATTGCAGCAAAAGATTTTGAATGTTATGGTCATTTCATCTAGTATTCTAGTGCCTTGATTAAGACATATTCCGGGTTTTATATTTAGACTATGAGGCCTCACTTACAGAATCGCAGCCAAGTAGCAAGTTCTACTCATATTAGGAATCCTATCACACTCAGTGGATAGGACACACATTGAGGAAAGCACCCAACTGCAAGCCCCCACTTGGAATCCTCAAAATCAAAGGAAAAGAGGAAGACCAAAGAACATATTAAACCGAGAAATGGAGACAGACATGAGAAGAATGAACAACAATTGGATAGAACTAGAAAGGAAGGCCCAGGACAGAGTGGGTTGTAGAATGCTGGTCGGCGGCCTATGCTCTATTGGGAATAACAGGCATAGGTACGTAGGTAATCATACTCGAGCATTTAACGTGTGAGAATTAAGTTAGTGACTGATCATTCTAAACTCTCCTGTGATAAGCATTTAAGACGTTTTGACCTTTAACCCTTATCTTATTGTAGAACTCGACACAACCTCATATTGACGCTCCGTATCTTAAATAATGATTTCTGCGTTAACATGTCTTAGCTTTTGTTTCCGACAGGACCAATCATCTGGGCAATTGAAAAGCTTCGTAAACCGCAGCTGAATAAACTCAGAGTTGGATCTTGTTCTTATCGAGCAGTCAGTGACTGAAATATCCTACTCGAACAAGTGGTATCGACTCGATCAGTGAACACTTTTACGGAGAGGCTGCTTTTCCACTTAAAGACAAGTTGGAGGGATGAACACAGGTAAAGCGACCTGTCATTGTTATTACTAAAGACTGAAATAATGAGTAATGTTGTTTAGTTTGACTGCATTGATTGGGACTGATCGAGGCCGTAAGATACAAATAAAAAACACGATGAAACCATATTGATCCGTGCAATGGAGTTTTCGTTAATTTGACCATAATCCTGATTGCAGGAAAAAACTGTGAGAGCGTTAAGTGATTCCTGAGATATGACGTGTTTTAGTTGAGTGTGTCAACTGGGATTGAAATACTTGGCGGATATTCTCACATTAGTCTCAAACCAGGCGATTTTCCTGTCTACTGATAACCAATTTAAGCCGGATTGTTCATAATATGAAGCTATCCCATTCATTTGTCTTTACGATTGTCAGTCATTTCCGTAACAACCACGTAAACTTAGTGAAAACATCAACTGTTCTATAGCTGGATCTTAGTGTGAGAACGCAAATAAGTCTTATTGATAAAAATACACGAAAAATTTGAAGTGAATCTCACCATAATGTAACAACGCAAGGAGTCATGGGATTATGGGAATGAGTAGGGCGTGACAGTCCAAAGTCCGCTATTTTGACAAGACCCTTGTCATTCATTAACAGGTTGGAGACTTTTAAGTCCCTGTGGATTATAAAGTTTTCATGAAGATATCTCAGACCTTTGAAAATCTGAAGCATGATGCACTTAACCTACAGTACAAATTAGGATTTTAACCGCATATTACCTGAGACTCGGTGAAAGGATTAGGCATGTTATCAAGTAAACTTGCCATATCCTGTTCACAATACTCCATAACAAGAAAGATGCTGAAAATGATCGATATCACTAGAACATACCTATCTAAGCTCCTCCCAACAACGACCTCTCTCAAGTGAACAACATTCGGGTGCTTTATACTTAGCAACAAAGTGATTTCGCGTAAACTGCTAATAGGGATACCTGCTGTACATAACTCAAGAGTGAGGAAAACTTGCCATCTCTAACATTTTCCATTCGAACTTTCTTTAGAGCCACAACCTCTTTTGATACAGTATCACGTGCACGGTCTAAGTTATTAGCTAAATTGTCATACTTACAGACAATACCATATGTCCCTTCACCTATGCGGTTGAGCTTTTCAAATTCAGCAACACTACGACATCTACCCTCCTAGAAGATGTGATACCGCTCGCAAACTTACTCTAAATTCCGATGGTATCTTAAAGTATGAAAGTCTCTTGACACTGAAAATTCTGAAATCCCTCGAGTCTGAATCAGATTCACGAACAGCAGATCGTGTAGCACACATATTGCAACTAGCGCTCCAAACTTCAATTCCCAATATCTTCACCACAAGCTTCTGCTAATTAATTGAGTACATTGTGCCTTTCTATTATTGTTTCGATTCAGTTCCATGTGTTCGTCAGTATTCAACTGTGGTAGCCAGATGTTTTTCAGTTGTATATATGCTGATCTTGCTTCACCGATCCACACCTTCATATCTGCATGGAATCCAACGAGTTCATCAATGATGCTGTACAGATATGTGAGGGTTTTTACATCTTTCAAGGCTTCTCCGTCAAGTATGATTTGATTGGTGCATTTTGTATTGTATCGGAGAATATTTATTTCCTTTTTGTGTACGTTGAGACCTACTTCTGCTACACTGGTCGTTTTCTCCTGCGTTTATTGTCGCGTGTGCGATAGAAGAGCCAGATCATCTGCGAAGTCTAGATCGTCCGGCTGTATCTTAGCCGTCTATTATATCCCATGCTTCCCTCCAGATGCTGACATCTTCGTTATATAGTCGATCACCAGGAAAAAGAGAAAGAGTAAGAGTATGAAACCTTGTCTGACTCCGGTTTTCACTTCGAACGAGTCTGTCAGCTGTTCTTTACGCGCCATTTCGCAGTGGAATATGTGTTGCCATTGGGTTCCAATCACACAATCCTCAAAGCTAAACAGAAAACACTTAGGAAAATAGATGTTCAACATTTAAGGCGGAGAAAAACCCAACGATGGAGAAGACGGGAACAATGAATTGGATTAATTCGAATTGATCGGATGGCACAGCTCGGCCTTGTAGGCCTGGTCCCTGCTGAATGTTATTTTTTATTCGTATTAAGGATATTGTTCTATCTCTACCCTGAGCTTTTTCTCCATCATGTATTAGTGGTTGTTACGGTGCGATGAGTTGGTGTAGACGAGGATGTGGCTTCCATGTAAGATCTTATAGATCGGGCAGTTATATCAATGACAAATCTACCATTTTATGATTCGGTCTATTATTAGAGCGGTACTCATGACGAAGTAGACTATAATTCTGCAAGTCCATCATGAGAATGCCGTATGATATTGACTATCGTTTCAGTCTCGCCATAGTGTCGAAGAAGCTTTCAAAGTGTTGTCCATTCCTCGGTATCAAATGCTTTCTCGAGTTCAATGAAATTTAAGTAGAGTGATGAATCCCACTCAAATAACTGTTCCAAAATGATCCATAGTGTTGCGATTTGGTCTATACACGATCAATCCTTACGGAATCAGGCCTGTTGCTCTCGAATTTGGGCATCTAGAGTGTCCTTCATTCACTTTGACAAAACGCCGTTGAAAACTTTTCCTGGTATGGAGAGAGGAGTGATGCCTCTGATCTAAGAGGGGAATGGTGATCCATGGATGAGTACGTGTTTTTCGATTCTCCTCTTGAAGCTACTCAAAGAAGGACTGTGGTCACTTCGGCTGGAAGGGTTTTTCAAATAGAGGCAACTCTGAGTGAGAAAAAATGAAGGCGTATGCGTGTATTTGCCATTTGATGTGCAATCTTTCGGGGGTTTTCCCAAGGAGTGTGGCGATGATGTTCTGGTATTATCTCGTTTTCGGATGGCATGTTGTATGCTATTGTCAGATCTCCCTTTCGTCTCTTGTAGCTCCTAACGTGATTTGCATTTATCAAACTTTTGCTGTGTTCTTGTGCATCAAAAGTACCATTTCAGTTCTAAAGAATCTATCCTGAGCTATACGTTCAGTAGATTACTTTTTTTAGTTTCACCATATTTAATAGTTAACTGTGGTTTCGCCTCAGCTTACTATTCGGTTTTTTGTTTTTCACGTAAAGACTAATTCAATTCATCT